CGAAGTGAGACATACATCCTAATAACTTGAAGGTAACCCTAATTACCGGTTAGTAAGCAAAATCATAAATAAGTGATAAAGTACCATGTGTAATGATAGAAGCAATAACATATGCATATACAGGAATTCATTCTCATTAATCTTATTATGCTCATGTAATGCATTCTTGGTTCCCCCTGGTAGAGTAATCTCTACACCTGGGCCAGGACTTCCAGTCATAAAGAATATGGCCCACCATACCACTGCTTAGACTAGGTCATTCTTTTTATAGGGGTGGTCTCCTAGGTCCATTATAGTAAAGTCAAGCTCTACAATCAGAATTATCATGACTTTCTAGCCTTATACAGAGTAGGACAATAGCCCCCTACCCTAGTCTAGGGTAACCTTATGGATCATTCAATATCCTAAGTTTGTCGTAGTAGAGTCAAGTTTTACGCTCTAGATCATCAAGATTCTTCTTCTAGGTCCATTTTAGCAAAGTCAAGCTCTACACTTTGGATCCTCAGGACTTCTTGGATCTCCTCATGATAGGGCCACATTTTTTCCTACCTTAATCCAGGGTATATCTCGTGGATGTGATGCATATTAGTGCACGTTGTCATTTTAAATTCATTTCATTTAATACTCACACTCGTATGTATATACTTTCACAATACTACTACTCTACCAATTTACTATATAATACACATAATTATATCAAAATGCTTGTAAACAATTTCACAAACAAACAAGTAAAAGGGTTACCCTAGTTACCTTTAACCCTTGCTGCTAAGGGTTATAACCACATTAAGCTCCCAGGGATGTAGATTCTCATGAGCAACTTCACAAGTACTCAATCTACATAACACTGTGCCCTTCAGTTAATTTCCAACACATTTTATAGGCATTGACTTGGCTAAACCAAATCCCTTAATGTATAAAGTAGTTCAATTGAACCCTTTTCAATTCATTTATCCATTATTCATGGCCATTAGCCCTATAAGCCACTCAAATAATAATAACAAACTCCTAACACATTCATTCTACCAATTTCATCCTATTGACCTAACTTTTAGGCCATTTTGAGCCTAAATGCTCAAAGCTCAACCATTCAACTCTATGCTAGTCATAAAATCTTAGTTCTGTATTTGATATCATGTTTTTAATACTTCTTTTAGATTATAACACCTTAAAATCTTATGATTTAATTTCTTAACCGATGAAATTTACTAAAAAAGAGATAGAATTGAACCTTGGAATTGTATGATACTTACCCAGCAAGTTATTAATCGAAGCAGACTCTTGACCTTCAACTATAGCTTGCCCTAGCAAAGATAGCTTCCTCTTACCCTCCAGACAAATCTCCAATAATTTTTCTTTTGTTTTCATGAGCTGTTCATGTCAACTTTAAGTGATTCCTAGACAATGCACTGTGGCGTACATAGCTTCCGTTGTGACGTATAGCATAATGAGAAAATTCTCACTTATGCTCACGCGTTTTATTCTGAATTATTTCTCTACCCTTTAATCCTATTAATGGAATACCTAAACAATACAAAACATCAACTCAACATCTAAATCATAGTTAATCCCCTAATTATTAAGTTATCCTCGATTGGTAACTAGTTCTTAGGATTGAAATTCAAGATGTTACACCTTGCTTCATTGAGTTTTTCACTAAAGAATGCCATTGGGTGGCCTTCCTAGCTAAGGATGCCTCTAATTCCTACACCCAAGGTGTAACACTTGCCTCAAATGTTAATAAAAGCACACCACAACTCAAGAAAACTAAGTGTAGTTAAGGAGTTGATTCTAAAACTAACTTAGAAAACAAACCATTTCAAATCTCTTAGAAAATTTTGAAGGATTATTATATAACACACAAAAGAAAATTGGGCAAATAGGGCAATTAATTGGTATCATAACAACATTGACAACCCTCCTGAGAAAACTTTCGAGAGGTGTCAATTCACCGTCTGGCCTCCGATTGAAGTGATTTCAACGCTCACATGTCACTTTTAATAAGTACTAATAGTGTTCCAAATTTCATAGTGATCCAACAGTCTAATTAAAATTTGGACACATTTCAAGTTTGGCATTTTTGTTGTCATGACAGCACCTTCGGAATAATTTCTGGAGTGCACCATTTTGTCATCCAACCCTCGATCAGAGTGATTCCAGAGCCTACACATCACATTCAAAGAGTACTATCAATATACTAAATTTTAAAAAGATCAAAGGATTGGATCAAAATTTGTGCGTGTCCTAACCTCAGTAATTATTGCTGTCATGACAGCATCTCTAGACTCAATTTTGGAGTATGTCATTTCTCTGTTCGTCATCCAATCAAGGTGATTCTAAAGCCCACATGAAAATTATAAAATTTTTTACTTGTGATCAAAATTTCAAAAAAAATATAATAGTTGGATTGAAATTTAGACAATCAGATGTAAAAGTGTAGCTTTTTAGTGAAAACCATTTTCAAAATTATTCAAATTTGATCCTAAGGGTCATAAACTTGTCGGAACACTTTGGACGTGTCAAACAGGACTAGGAATACCTAATAGAACATTCAAATGATAGAAAAAAACTCCTTATATTAAAATTTGACCACCCAGGTTCCATTTCTCAAAATAGACCCTAAGCCACCAAAATTCACAAATCACATAAGAGTGACCAAAAACCAATTCAAACACCATTTACTCATATAAATACATGTGCTAAACATTTTTCACTTGCCTCAAAGATCCCCATGAGGCCCACGCACCCACTATCTCTATCCAAGGTATATGTTTGCCCATAGCACACCATTCACAATGCAACTATTTTGCATTTGCTTGTAGAATCACATATATTCACATATATACCAAAATAAACATTTACTTGTAATGAAAACTTGGTCTACCAAATAAATCCATCAAAGCCACATGCCATGACCAAGTTTCCTAGCCACAAGTCTACAAGCAGATAAAAATTCATGCACAAGCATACAATCCACACATATTTACATATATATATAGTTACATCCTACTGGCACCCTAACCTAAATACATTACATTGCACTTGCTCAAAAGAAAGGGGTTCTTTATAAATCACAAGAAAACCCTTAGCTTTGCTCATTTCCCTATTCACTACTGGATTCTTCACTTGAACCTGTAAATATTGTAAAGAAAGAGGCGAGACAATCATAGTTTCAATAATAGAGAAATCAATATTCTTTACTATAAGGAAAGCCATAGTCAAGTAAATAAATAATAGGTTCAAAATAACATATAATTAATCAATTAAAATGCTTGAATCTATGAGATAAGCAGATATGACCTTTCGTGACCAACAGAATGCCCCCAGCACTCTTTACCTTGCAGGTAATTCTTATACCCACTATACCTCCACAAGTATAAAATATAAACTAAGGCATGATCTGATCCACTGAATCGCCTATGCCTCATCAACGTGAATCCTAAGCAGTTGAAGCTAACTCCCTTCCAGAGCCAACCCAACTTACTCTCCATATAAGGGCTACTTTAGCCTAGGCACTCAACCTCACACTTCACATCCTAGATTTCCTCCCCTACTGAGAGGTGTTGAATACTCAATCTACTAACCATTTTAGTTTACTAAGCTCACACTACAAAAAGTAGGGCTGCACAAATACTAGATTGGATCAAGTTAGATGCTAACCTGAAGTCTAGTTTGAATGGAGACCAGGCTGAAATTTTTAGTCCAAAGATTGGTCCAGTCTTGTTAGACCCGAGACCTGGACTGGGTTGGACTTGGTCTACTGGGTTACTGGACTAGTGCAGTTTCTTGAATCCAACTCTCTCCAAAAAAGGCCCTTATATTGCCTTTCCTATTTACTTGCATCAATATCGTCAGCTTTTTTTATATCCCCTTTCCTTTTTTATATTGCTTAATGTTTTTGTTGTCTACATGTGGCGTGAAAACACAAAAGAATATATATGCTTTGCATGTGTTTCTTTTTTCTAAGTCTAGAGCTAAAGAGGAATGAGAGCATGCATAAGAGCGACGCAAATACATAAACTAAGTAGACACTTGTATTGACCTAGCAGTATATACAATGACAACAGATTAATCCTTTTCTAATATTAAGACAACTTGATACTCTATTGTCAAATTACATTAAAAAAACAGAACACTGAAAGAAAAAATTGAAGACCCATATGACTATATAAATGCTAATTCAAACATCATCTTCCCTACACATTCATGGTACTATTTGTTACCTCCAGCTCTCGTCAACCCCCTCAAACATGCATGCTAGATAAGTGCCAAGTAATAAACTCATTAATATATTCATATTCAAAATATATACATCTCACCATAGTCTACTCAGTCAACAATTCAACATTTCATTGTCAAGCTCTATAGTCTATCCAAAAAAATAACTATCTACATATTCTAGCCAACCACATGATATAGCTAGCTAGCCAAAAAATAAGTATTAGCCTATCAAACTATCATCATGCTTCTTCACATAACAAAAAGTTAGTGAGATGTGCCCAAAATATATCCAAAATATTTGAAAGTTTGAAAGTTAATAAACATAAGCACCATACAACATCAAATGGCACTTACACAACCATCCTCTCTAACATCAATAACACTGGAAAGATCTGAAAAAATATATAAAATATAAATAGTCAATGTTATTACATCACAAATAAAAAAATACAACTAAAATATATAATAATCCATATAAAATATAAATAGTCAATATCATCATTGCAACACATACCAATCTTCACCACACTCTCAGTCTCCTTAAAATTATCAAATTCTTAAAGCATGGATGAAAATTCAGATATGGATTGTCTAGGAAGCAACCAATTTTGAGTACAGATAAGTGCTTCAGTCATGTTTGGTGATAGTAAACTCCTATAAGAGTCCACTACACGTCCTCCTATGTTGAAGGCTGATTCAGAGGCCACTATAGACACTGGAACAGCCAAGACATCACGTGCAATCATAGAAAGAACCTTGTATTTGCTAGAATTGGCTCTCTACCATGCTAATATATCAAAATCATCATCAACAGGGGTATCATTAGCAGAGTTAGATGAAAGATATTTATCTAATTCTGATTGTGGGTCTAATGAGGTTTTTTCTTTCTGAGATGCTAACCACCTATGACCTGGATCTATACCCCCTTGGCCTTCAAGCATTAAACATGTTGATGATCCTGGAAGTGTAGAAGAAGAAGCATTGCTTGGGGTAGTAGACCCTAGTCCTTTAGCATACTCATTAAACATGCGGTACAAGACATCTTTGATCATAATTTTCATGGCAATACAAACTTCAAGATTAGGAAAAAGTTGCTTAAATATATGATTCACATAAGCAAGCTTGTACCGAGGATCCAAAATCACCGCTACAATGAGCAAAGGATTCATATTCTCTGTTTGACCCCAATATTTTTCATACTTGCTTCTCATACTTAGGGACATTTTTATAAGCAAAGGATCAACATTCACAATATTCTCTTCCAATAACTCATGAATAAGAGCAATTTGATGGAAACAAGTGTTAGAAGTAACATTTAGTGAACTTGAAAACATCAAAGTTATGTCATAGAATACCTTCAAAAATTTAAGAAAGACACGTTCCTTGTTCCAATCACTAGCTTTAGGAGGGCCTTCACGCTTAGTGCCTTCAATAAATTGCCCCATATAATCTTCATCTTCATCTTCTAGGCATTCAAAAGCCTTTTGAAACTTCAAAGTAGATTCCAACATCAAGTAAGTTAAATTCCATTGAGTATTGACATCAAGGCAAACAAGGCTAGTAGTGTCCAATTTCTGCAACTTAGCAACACTTTTAACCTTTTGGAGATGAGCGGGAGAAGAACAAACATATTTAATTGCATTGCAGATTGCATCAAAGCTATTCTTCAACTCCTTCAACCCATCATTAACCACTAAGTTAAGAATATGTGCATAACATCTCAATTGAAGGTAATCACCCCCACAAACCATGCCTTTCCAATTCCTCAGCCTTCTTTTTAAATAAGACAAAGCCGTGTCATTAGATGATGCATTGTCCATTGTTATGGTAAACACCTTCTTAATTCTCCATTCTAATAGACACTTCTCAATTGTCTTTCCAATTGTGTCACCCCTATGATTCTCAATCATGCAAAAATTTAATATCCTCTTATGCAACTTCCACTCAGGATCAATGAAATGACAAGTAAGGCATAAGTAATTGAAATTTTGAGTAGATGTCCAGCAATCAGTTGTCAAGCAAACACAATTTGCAGACTTCTTTAACACTTGCTTCAACATCTTGATTTCTCCAAGGTATAGTTACCAATAATCTCTAGCAACCGTTGTTCATGAAGGGATTCAAAATCTTGGTTCCAGCTCTCTCATAAAGTTTCTAAACTCATACTTCTCAGCTATCCTAAATGGCATCTTATCACAAATAACAAATTTAGCCAATGCCCTTCTACATTATTTTTAGTTGAAAACATGAGGGACTAAGCCCCCTCCTTACCCACTTAACATCATGTAGTTCAATATTGATTGCTTTGGTATTATGGTAGCCTTATGTGGGTTTTTAGGACATTTTAGAAAGTGCCTTTTCAATGATGTTGTCCCATGCTTGTTTAGGTCATAAGTATAAGTTGCATGACAGTATTTGTAAGAAGCTCTAACCTCTCCATTTGTTTCTTCCAAAGGTAACTTCACAAAATGCTCCCAAACTTGTGATTGTTTACTTTTCTTCTCAGGCTCTTTTCTCTTTTTGCTCACATTCTCTGGACCATAATCTTGTGTAAGGTTAGAGGCAGGATTAACAGCTACAGGAGGAGGAGTTGGTAGAGTTAGTCCAGTAGGAGGTGGCATTTCATTTTGACTAGAACCAATTAATTGTGTTGGCAAGGGTTGGTCAATACTAGCAGATATAGAAGTTTCGTCCACTATGTCTCTAATATGAAAAACAAGACACAATGTTAACTTATAAAATCACAGACACAAATATAGAGTTAGACTTTTCTCAAAGAAATATGACATATATAGAGCCACTTCTTTGTCATGATCAGTTGATCACCAACAAATCAAATCCAACAATTAATATAATAAGCACAAGTAATCTAATTGTTACAGAAATTTATCCTTAAAATACTGATATAAGGTTCAAATATTAGATTATAGCAACCTCACCAAAAATATAATAGATATTAGATTATATCAGCCAAAAATGAGAATGATCCTCTAAAACTGAAGCCAAAAGGGTAGAAGTGTGTACTTTTGAAAATGGCAACAATAGTGCATCTCTCACTATAGCAACCTTAACAAAAATAAAAAAACTAGAAAGAGAGAAGTAACAGAACAAAAGCATGTGAAAATGGAACAAAACTCATCGAAGAAGCCAAAAACAAAGCAAGAAAAACTAAAAACCAAGCAAGCAAAACTAGAATGCACAATGAATCGGAAGGCCGAGTAAAGAAAAATTAAAAACAAAGCAAGCAAAACCAGAAGAAGAACCACAAAATATGAATACCTTTTAGCTGCTAACACCGTCGCTGAAGAAGAAGGAGGAAAATGCACAATCAATCAGAAGGCTAAGTGAAGTAGTCAAGCAATCGTGATGTTCTTCTTTATGGCATGCTTGAGGAGAAACAGGGCGACGACCGACCAAGGAGAGATGGAGAGATGAGTATAACCTTAGAGATCTACAGCTAGGGCAACTGGCAAGCAAAATGGAGAAATGACTTGAGGGTACTTAGCTCAGACAGACTTTAGACTTCAGAGACCGAATTCGAGGCATACGCATGAGTAGGGAGTGTGAGTCGTGATGTGAGGGTACTGAGAGTTTGAGCTCACGAGTCAGTGTAACTAAATTTTTTATGTAAATTTTTTAATATTTAATATTAAAAAAACCTAGACCGGGCTAGACAAATTGGTCCAAAAGAGCAGTCTCTAGTTTGGTCTAACCCGTATGTGTAGTCTGACCTGTTTAGCCCAATATTTTATTCGGGTTGATTTTTTTAGGAGTGGGTCGGGTTGAACCAAATAGACTGGGTCTAAGGTTTTTTTATACAGCCCTAACAAAAAGCAACACTAGGTACTAACAATGAGCTATAAAATATGACAAGACCATATCTCCCCATTGGTCAACTCCCACGAAGATCATGCCTCCTACCCTTTTCTACCTTTCCTTAGTATTAACCACTTCAACACTTTAAGGTAGTATAACACTCATAATTCATCCCTTAAGCAGTTCCTTAATCTATCTAAGGTACCAAACCTAGTAGCACTCTCTAAGTGTAACTCTTCATTTTTATGACTACAATGTATGTTGATAATTTTATTTCTATAAATAACATCATTATTAAATAGATAGTAAACATAGATGCATTATTATTAAAGTAATACCCCATGAACCCTTCTAAAACACATTTTACTTGTATTCAATTATTTAAAACATGCAGTGTATGCTAGCTAATATTATCTACTCAAAGATAGCTAAACAAAGCAATAAAAAATATAAATGCTCTTGTTACCTCAACTCTTTTGTACCAAAAGGGTTCCTCTTGTACGAAAATATGACTTGGCTTATCCCTTAAATTTTAAACAAATTTCATCAACAATCTCTATAAAATATAAATGATCACATCACTTATCATGGCAAATAGCATAAAAGAAGACTATAATTCATACCACGTAACTTGGGTCAATAAGTTATAATCTATCCTAATAGTCTATATATTAAACCAACTATTTACATAGTATCACTTATTCACCAAAACCATTTATTAGCCACCACTAGGCCAATTTCCAAACCATACAATTTGTAATTAACCAAAAACCTTCACTTAGTGTTATCAACTTTCATAATTAGCCCTTATAATAAAAACCAAAGCTTAATTTAAATCTTATTAGATTTAAATAGTACAATTATAACTAAATTAATAGGCTTAAACTATTAAAGAGTAAAACCCAATCCCTTAGGGTTTAATTTTTGCCCAAAATTCCCTTCTCTTATTCAATTACCCATTCAAAATATTAAAGCACCATATAGAAACTTAAAACAACCTCCCTAAGACGCAAAGAAACTAAAGCTTATAAGAACAAAGCCTTTAAGATCAAAATTCAAAATTTACCTCTTTCAAAACTCAAGAAAACTAAGAGGTAAGGAAGAGAATTGAAGTAGGGAGCTTACCTATTGGCATAACCGAGCTCGCAACTATCATAAAACCTCCAAAATTCAAGCCCTAATTTCCTCTCTTCCTTTTCTCTCTTCGTTTCCTCTATTTCTCTCCCGTTCTCTTTGTTTATTTCTTTGTTTCATTTGTTTCTTCATTTTTGATTTGATTTCCTTTTTAAAAAAATGACTTTAGCAATTCAAGAAAAGGTCCAACATTTCTTATTATAACACAAAATCTTAGGTCAACTTCAGTAAATTTTCTCATAGTTAAGAGTAAAGTAAAATCAAACTTTTACTCAGTGAAATTCAAACTTTGGACCTTTATCAAATTATTCTTAATTTTACTTTAATTATTTATATTTTATTTTAAATTAAATTTGGGTCTTAAAAATTTTAGGATGTTACACGAGGTATCACATGTAACCTCCAAGCACTTGCGAAAATTAGTTAGTGCAAGAATGGGGGTACTCAACAACTTTTCTTTAATGGTTTAGAAAGCCTTGGATATAGCAAGAGTCCAACTAAATGCTTCTTTCTTCAAGAAATCAATTATGGGTGTCATGATAGTGCTAAAGTCTCATATAAAGCATTTATAAAAGGATGCTAGGCCATAAAAGCTTCGTATTTCATGGAAAGTCCTTGGTTCATACCATTCTTAAATGGCCTTGGCCTTATCTGGATTAGCAAATAGGCCATGTTTGGAAACAATGAATCCAATAAAAGTGACTTGACCCTGTAGGAAAGAATATTTAAGAAGGTTAACATAGAATTGTTTCTCACATAGAATAAAGAGGACCTGTCAGAGGTAGACCAAGTGGTCATCCCTAGATTTACTAAAGATCAGTATGTCATCAAAGTACACAACTATGAATTTTCCTAAGTAAGGTCAAAATATGTGGGTCATAACTCTCATAAAGGTAATAGGGGTATTTGCTAAGCCAAAAGGCATAACTAACCACTCATATAATCCCTTTTAGGTCTTGAATGCAGTTTTTCACTCATCCCTAGGCCTAATTCAAATTTGGTGATACCCACTTTGAAGATCAATTTTAGAAAACCAAGTAGACTCAGAAACTAAATCCAGCATGTCGTCAAGCCTTGGGATTGGTACTTAATGGTCATCTTATTAATTACTCAGCCATGCATACACATCCTCTAAGAACCATCTTTCTTTAGGGTTAAAAGGATTAGTACAGTATGAGGGCTAAGACTATGCTTGATGTAGCCTTTTTTGAGTAATTTGTTAACTTATCAGTTTAGCTCATCTTTATCTTTTGGGTTCATCTTGTAGTGTGGCAAGTTAGGAAGTTGTGATTCAAGAACTAAGTCTATCACATGTTGGATATCTCTTATGGCTAGTAATTTTGAAGGCAATTCCTTAGGTGCCACATGTTTAAACTCATCCAATAATTAGGATACTTCGATAGGCATTGGAATTGGTGTGGGTTGGGTAATAAATTTTAAAACAATTGCAAGAATAATGTTAGGCTCCTTGCTTTCTTGTACAAACTACTTCTCTTTTAGTAAGTAGAGGTTATGACATTTCAATTTTGGACCTTTAGAATTAGGAGAACTCTTGCTTCCTGTTTCTGGTTTGGTAGGGCATATAAGAATAGTTTTGTCATTGAATGTATGGGTATTTGCTCAACCATAAATAGTGACATCAAGTTTATAGATCCAAGGTTGTCCTAATAAGATGTGCGACACGTCCACGGGAACAACAACGTAAAGGACTTCCTCTTGATAGTCACCAAAATGAAGGAGCACTCAGCATTATCACATTATAGGCAAGGAAGTGTTATCAATCCAAGTAACACAGAAAGGTTTAGCAAGAGGATCCATATTAAGTCCAAGCTGAGTAACACAGCCACTAGAAATCACATTTCGCTCACTTTTACTATGTATGACTAGCTTTTATGACTTATCACCGTACTTCACGAATTTATGGAAGATAGTATTCCTTTTCCATGAATCATCAACTGATAGAATAGCTAATAGACATCGTATTACCCCAAGATGACCTAAAGGAACTTTATTTGCAATAATTTCTTCATCCACATCAAAGGGCTCTCAACAGGATCTACTACAATATCGGGTGTGCACTCAGCTAATACACCTTTTTCTTAAGATTTGA